GGTTTGCCATTGCCTGCCGAGGGACGACGGCTGTTAAGAAAAAACCTTTTTTATATATTTTATTGCGATGTTGCTTTGACCAGAGCTCGAACCCAGGAGCTACGGAGTGGAAGCGCGCACTGCTTACCACTACACCACAGCGGCTCTTTTCTCTTATAGGTTTATCCAGTTTTTTCTTAATTTCAAAATCGAGAACCGGTTGTTTCAAGTCGCAACTTTTCGAAAGCCTGTTTTAGAAAACAGGCGAATATTCGAACACCCGAGTACATATACAATATTTCATTGTAATCTAAGAATGGGAGGAATTTCCAAAGTCCCTTATCTCTATAACCCAACTTTCTTTAACAAAAAGTAATGAACGATAGTCAGATTCTTTACTTATTTATATTAATCATTAAATTATATTTAAAGTTTTTTGTTTCTTCTAATCGAATGTGTTATGATAATCCACATATAAACGTTAAAAAAGTTTAACTCAATTATTTTTTGCTTTTTTAATCAGTTACGTAAAGTATTTGCGTTTTCCGAAAGCAGTTACTTATGTATTTTCAAATATGTATTTAGTAATCTTTAGAATAAATTTCTGAGATTGAACCTATGTATTTATGTACTACATACATACATATAGAAATATGTATGTACATACATATATATAAACATAGAACAGCATTAGCTACGAACAAACACCTTGAACAAATTTTCTAAATACGTAAGTACTTTTCGCAAATACTCGCCCGCCTACAGAGAAACCCATTTCCGTATGATTCTCATTTAACTTCATGATGCCTACGTATGTACATATGTATATACATACGTGGTGGGTGATGAGCTAAATTTGCTATTTAGCATCTTCGCATTTCATTAGCACAACATTTCACCAACAATTTATGGCCTCAACAAATTAATATTTGCTTTGTACTGTAAACAAACACACAAACGCGCAAACAAATGAATACATACATATGCATCTGTACAATTACTTTAATATTTCTTCCAGAATAAATGAAACGGTAAGGTGTGTTAAAATTATTGCATACACTCGTACATACACATGTTTGTGCAAAATATACATATAACAGAGAAGAAAACAAGTAAGAAAGCCTAAGTTCGGGCGGAGCCGAACATTAAATACCCGGCGCAAGTATTAAATATATGTTTTCCACCTTTCCGAAAGCTACCGCTACATGATAAGCCGGGGTGTATACATTTTAAGTAAATTAGCGTCCTTAAATTTCGAAATATTGAAATTTCAAGCAT